TCGTATCAGGTGTTTTCAGATCCCATCACATCCCTGAGCCAGCTTTTTCATATGCGAGAACAACTTTTTCAGACTATTTTCATTGCTGCTAAACAATGGTTATTCATGTGAAAGTTCAGTCTTACTTAACGACAATCCGAATGCGTTTCCACTATTACAACAACTGAATCCGTACTGTTTACATCCACTAGAGATACATAATTCAATGCTTCTTCACTCGTTGCAGCAGTAAATAATTCCCCAAAATCGATAGACCTGTAAAAGGCATTTGTATTGTTGATTGAATTAGCAGGTTTGAGGCGATGAACGCCTGAAACCCATTTGTTCAGTGATCGACGTGACGCAGTCCGACTATTGGTGCTAACAGCACGTAATGGAAAGCGTTCTTTACCTCGAATGCTTATATCACTACATCGTGTGTTTGGTATAGAGTAGCTAGTGCACTTGTCGAAACTTGATTCCTGAGACAAGTTGCGCCGTAGTACATTACAATCGTATTGAGGATTAGACAGTTCTAGATCACTGGTGTCGACTTCACTTTCAGGGACATTTTCCGCATTTGAATGAGTACGTTGGGGATCAATTGTATCAACTTTCATTTTAGCATTCATCAGCTTTAAAGAATGGGATTCGATTACTTCATCTAACTGAATAAATTTTTTAAACAAAATTCAAAAAAGTGTAAAAGGATTGTGGCAACATAAAAATGTTGTTTGGTGAATAAAAACACATCAAATTTCGTAATTTACATAAATTCAAAAAGTTATATACGGCAGTTCATGACGACTAACATACAGCGACGAATTTAGTCATCAACTCCTTGACATTTGGTAAGTTTAAGACACAATCTCATATTCTCAGGAAATAATTAAGCAAAATGGGAAACAAAAATAGTTGAGGGAAAGCCGTAAACATGTCATTGAACCAGTCATCTATGAGCTAAAATCTTAAATTAATGAGTATCATCACTACCCCAAATGCCCTGGTACGGCCGAGAGTGGGGAGAGTCCACTCTCCCTCTCGAAATGCTCTTACATGGCCACGTACATACAACCACTTCCAGGGAAGTCCTACTCACTGCCTTCTCGTGGCGGGGGTGTTGTCTACAAAATTGTGAGGACGAAAAGCGAATATCCTGCGCCTTAACCGGGATGGTGGACACGGAGGGTTCACCTAGGGGAGTTGGAAAACCCTGACTCTAATCCAATGGTGTATATGGACTCCAGTATCCTGAAGGAACAAATGGCGTATGAATCAATCGTTGGTCACCGGCTACAATGGGACTGCATCTCTTGACGTCGCTCCACTGCCTTGTGGATCGGACCTCTATGTCAAAGGCTCCAAGAAAACAACCGGCTTCGGTCAGGGCACCTGGGCAGTATCACAGCCCTTACACAAATCGAATGAAATTTGTGCGGCACATATGTATCTGATGCTTCCTTTTACCAATATTTATGTTTAAATAAATAAAACATTTCACACCAGCACATCCAAAAATTTAGTGAAACGAGAGAGGTTATCATTATTTACTGAAGTAGAAACCTAGATACAAATTTAGAAGGAATGAGTGAGGTCGAGGAACGACGAGTATACAATCACACAAAAACCTTAACATCTCTACGAAGTGTGTTGTGAATAAGATGACCGGTGTTTGGGCTTCAAGCGATCGGGAATACAACTTGAAAGTAATTATTTATGTGACCATTTCATTTGTAGGGGATTTTAAGAGAAAAATCCGTGATACTAATAGGCAGCATGAATGAGATAACTGCAGGAAACAAATGTATTGTGTGAAAGTATCACCTTCTTAAATCGTGGTAACATACTTCAAGCTAGGAAATAATCGTACAGCGATCATGAGTCAGACTTTGTCAACAGGTACATCATTTTACTAAAAGGACCCCATTCTGAGGTATGATGGTGGTTGGAGGTGGTCAACAGGAAACCCTGGACCCGGGTTTCGTGCTACTTGACACTCGTCAGCAAGGTGTACCTGTGATCCTGAGGGAACTGATGCTCCCTGGCGGATTCGATCCCGCGTCACTCAGTTTCACAGTCAGAGACGTTACCACTGAGCTATTCGGGCCGCGACCAACCTCCTGTAGGACTGAGATGTAATGACAATTGATTGATCACTGGGTGGTGATCAATCTCATGCATGTCAGGTCCTTCTTAGTGCTGATCGAATGCTATCGATCGAATTGCAATGTGCACCTTGCTGACGAGTGTCAAGTAGCACGAAACCCGGGTCCAGGGTTTCCTGTTGGTCACCTCCAACCACCATCTTACATCAGTATATATAGTGCAAGCAGTGTCGAGCCACCTAGACTGGTGGCCACATTGCAACTCGATCGATAGCATTCGATCAGCACTAAGAAGGACCTGACATGCATGAGATTGATCACCACCCAGTGATCAATCAATTGTCAGGACCCCATTCTGCTGGGATGTTTTGTCTGGTGAGTTTGCTCCAATAACCGGTTCGTGAGAAGCCGTCGGTCGACCACACCGTATTATTGTTCATCACCTGTCTATTAGAACCTTGTTATTTTAACCCATAACGTGTTAATCATCAAGACAGCATTCAAAACAGTTTGTTGAGTGATTTCACCTAGAAACAGCAGGTTTATAGTCTTGACATATTTCACAAGTGTCGTCTTATCAGCTCTCCATATTGTTTATTACTTATTGATATGGGTTTAAATAACAGAGAGTGGTTTAACTTATAGCAGCTCTGAAAAATAGTAAAGGTATTTTTAATTAGCTTCTTAGCTTCCTAATCTCTTGGAGATCATGTGACCTGATAGTCTGAGAGATAATTAGGCGTGACTTCAAAAATTAATAATTACGTTGCTGTATTTCTTACTGTTATTAAGAAACTGTAAGATGTACCTTCGGACTAAGAGAAATATATGTTGATTGTGAACTGTATTCCTCAACACTTCCTAATCGCATACTGAATCTAAATTTTGTCGTTTACTGTTTTCCAACAACTATCTTTTTTCTTTAAATGGCGAGCACTTTGGTGTCATATTACATTGAACGTTCACTAGTTACAGACAGAAATAGCCTATTTTGGAGGTGGTTAATATTGTGTTAATACAGAGTTTGGGATATCGTGTATACTTATGATAGGTGGTGTTTTTTCAACATTGCTTAATTATGTTGACAATGATTTTAATATCATCCAATTTTTCGATGGATAACGAGTAGCTAGAGAACCAATGAAACGGACTTGTTTACTCTCTTTTGATGTAGATATTTTGGCATCAGATCTAGTTACGTGAACTGGTTCTCAGGGTAGAAATAAGATTTGGATCTTTGGGCCGACTGTTTGATTGAACGTTCTAACGACTGAGTCAGTTTGTTTTGACGATAGATAAACGGCAATTCTTGCCGAGATTTATATTAAGTCTACACAACTGCCACTTTCAGAGCCAATCACGATACGCTTCAGAACCTCTCACGTCTTGTTTTATCTTTTTTTTACTAAAGCTTATATTACTACTAGCACTACTGCTAATACCACTTCAGTATTTATCATGATGTGTCCTTTTTTATGTCCTGAAGTGAATTCAGATGATGCACATATGACACGTTTAACGTTTCTCCTGACTGACGTTTTTCAAGAGCCATATGAATCTGTTTTAAATGCATAGTTGACACTGACGTTTGGAAAAATTGCCAAGAAGTGTATTCACTTTGTGTTCATTAGAGTAGACCAACTGACACTATCTGAACTTGACCACATATTCCAGAATACCGAAACAACTTTTACTCCAAAGTGGCAATATTAGACCTTTAACTCGTTCATTCAGGCGTGGTCACTCTATGTAACCTCTCATCTTTTGTGTCGAATACATTGTTCTCTTCCTACCTCAAATATGTTCATCAGAGGTACTAGACACCATATTGCCGACTATCACAGTGGGACGAGCCAGTGTGGAGAATGATGTGAGTTCCACATAATGTCTTATAGATTACATAATCACATCGTGACAACTCTACAATTTTGGAATTAGACCTGTTATTATGGTATCAGAGATAAAGGTAATAAGGCAATAAATAAATCCCCAAAATCAATAGCTATGTGAGTCTTCGATACTTGGTGCTGACTGCATTAATTTTAATGGACTCACCTGGATGAAGGCTCTCTGTCACGTATCCACACCAGATCACTAGTGCGTACGCCGTGTTTCACATCTACTACAACTGCTAGCCAACTTAGACCGATCACTTCTCGATACATCGATGTCATATCAAATATTCGTTCCAACCTCTTCGATTCAGACTTCTGATTTGACTGAGTTGGCACGTTTCGATTCTAATAGTTGTTACTCGTTAAGGCGTCGTCAAACTTGAAATGTTTGTGACACCTTTAGTATCAACACCGGATTAGAACATAATTTTACAGAAGTTTTACAGAAAACAAACGGTGTGATGAAGTCATAGGACGGAATGGTGAGTTTGATAAAAGTGAATGAGCAATAAATGAACTATATTATCAGAAACAGCATTGGCAGTACAAAGATATCTGCATTTCGAATTATGTATTCTCTTGTCACGTCATTTCTCTAAATGATATTCACAATCATCTGAAGGTTTTGGTTGTCGAAAATAATGGGTTAAATGTGTGTTTCTCTCTAATCCTGAGATGAATATCTTCAGAATCATTAAACTTACCTGGTTTGAGAAGGCAAATTAAACATGAGACCGCTTCTTTCTCAATAATACGGAAATCGACAGACAAGCCGCTATTATCACAATTATTTGTTGGTGTTTCAATATCGTCAGGAGAAAAAAGGTTTTACTAAAATATTCTGAAAAAGCTTAAGCTTTTGCAATATAATTGCTTGCCAATATCAACAAATTTTCTCGTATCAGGTGTTTTCAGATCCCATCACATCCCTGAGCCAGCTTTTTCATATGCGAGAACAACTTTTTCAGACTATTTTCATTGCTGCTAAACAATGGTTATTCATGTGAAAGTTCAGTCTTACTTAACGACAATCCGAATGCGTTTCCACTATTACAACAACTGAATCCGTACTGTTTACATCCACTAGAGATACATAATTCAATGCTTCTTCACTCGTTGCAGCAGTAAATAATTCCCCAAAATCGATAGACCTGTAAAAGGCATTTGTATTGTTGATTGAATTAGCAGGTTTGAGGCGATGAACGCCTGAAACCCATTTGTTCAGTGATCGACGTGACGCAGTCCGACTATTGGTGCTAACAGCACGTAATGGAAAGCGTTCTTTACCTCGAATGCTTATATCACTACATCGTGTGTTTGGTATAGAGTAGCTAGTGCACTTGTCGAAACTTGATTCCTGAGACAAGTTGCGCCGTAGTACATTACAATCGTATTGAGGATTAGACAGTTCTAGATCACTGGTGTCGACTTCACTTTCAGGGACATTTTCCGCATTTGAATGAGTACGTTGGGGATCAATTGTATCAACTTTCATTTTAGCATTCATCAGCTTTAAAGAATGGGATTCGATTACTTCATCTAACTGAATAAATTTTTTAAACAAAATTCAAAAAAGTGTAAAAGGATTGTGGCAACATAAAAATGTTGTTTGGTGAATAAAAACACATCAAATTTCGTAATTTACATAAATTCAAAAAGTTATATACGGCAGTTCATGACGACTAACATACAGCGACGAATTTAGTCATCAACTCCTTGACATTTGGTAAGTTTAAGACACAATCTCATATTCTCAGGAAATAATTAAGCAAAATGGGAAACAAAAATAGTTGAGGGAAAGCCGTAAACATGTCATTGAACCAGTCATCTATGAGCTAAAATCTTAAATTAATGAGTATCATCACTACCCCAAATGCCCTGGTACGGCCGAGAGTGGGGAGAGTCCACTCTCCCTCTCGAAATGCTCTTACATGGCCACGTACATACAACCACTTCCAGGGAAGTCCTACTCACTGCCTTCTCGTGGCGGGGGTGTTGTCTACAAAATTGTGAGGACGAAAAGCGAATATCCTGCGCCTTAACCGGGATGGTGGACACGGAGGGTTCACCTAGGGGAGTTGGAAAACCCTGACTCCAATCCAATGGTGCACATGGGCTTTTGTTTCCTGGAAATGAACACAAAACTATTCGTCATGATACGTGGTTTGTTTCTGCTTATTCGTCAAAATAATTTGTGAGCTTGTGATATTTTTTGCTCTTTTCTATTTCAGAATCAAGTATATGATGGAAACCGGCCTTCGGCAACAATGCGTTTACTTACCTTAACACCACTAAATCAGTAATGAATTTACGAGTCAAACAGAATATTAGAAAGTGCCATAATAACAGACAGTGGGACTACTTCAATCCCACTTCAGCCCATTCGAGACAATTGACTAGCTAGAAATCTCATAATTGACAGTGTATCCCACGATAGTGGGACATATGAATTTGTTTGCTTCCGCCCGAAATGCAAGTGACAAGAGCTACTGATTAGTTCGATCTATCGCAGTCCAAGCTGTAAGGTAAATGAGGTCCTGTTAAGTAGTCTCAAAATGTGATCACGAAGTGGTAGATGTTTAATCCTAGGGGACTTAAATGCACCCATGATGAAATGGGGAAATCTGGGGACTGGATCTTCAGATAATTCCTTCGAACAGGAACTAGTTGATGCGGTTATCACATGTGCTCAAGTGCAATATGTGAAAGAAGCAACTAGGTACGACCCGGGCTCTGTATCATCCTTACTAGATCTTATATTTACTCACTGTGAGGTTGACGTGGCGGAGCTGGATTACGTGCCACCCTTAGGCAAAATTGATCATGCAGTTTTAACCTTTGACTTCCATATAACTGTCGATCACGAGCACACGTCAGCTCAATCCAGGCCTAATGTTTGGAAAGCAAACATACAAGACATCATGCACTCAGTGTCATCAGTAGATTGGACAATAGACCCTGAGTCCTCAATAGAAACGGCATGGGACGTATTTCGGAATTTATGCTTCAAAGTTACAGCCCTCCACATCCCTTGGACTACACCTAGGGGGCCGAGAAACTCCCCACCGTGGTTCAGTAGGGAGGTTCGCATCCTTCTCCGTAAAAGACGGGGAGTGTGAGATAGATTTAGGTTAGGGTATATCAGTATCAAAAAGCTCGGAATACCTGTGCCTCGACCCTCCCTAAGTCCAGAATGCTGTACGAAGAGAAAATCGTTAAGGAATCCATAGAATGTCCCAAACGCTTGTATCCGTACATAAACCGAGGGGAAAAAAGAAGAAATGTTGCTTCACTATGGGGAGATAGTACTGCCTCATCACTAGTGGAGGATGACTTTGGCAAAGCCCAAGTATTCTCTTAATACTTTAGCAATGTATATACCATAGAAACACCCTCCTCATCAGTCCATGAAAATCCCCCCAAACAAACACTGGACAGCTTGACCATTAAAGAATTCCATGACTTTGGTCCGCTAATTGAGCTTGACATAGGTAAATCCACTGGACCCGATGAACTGCATCCTAGGTTACTAAAGGGATTAGCTTACTTTGTTACGAACCCTTTAAGTATATGCTTTAATCTATCCGTAACCCAGGGTCGTCTACCAAAAGACTGGAAGAACGCCATAGTAAGTCCAGTCTTCAAAACAGGTACAAAACATAAGCCTGAGAATTACCGACCAATTAGCCTAACTAGTGTGGTTGTTAAAATCTTAGAAAAGATTATTCGGAAGGAACTGTTAAAGTATCTCGATGAAAACCGGATACTCTAGGAAAAGCAACAGGTTACTCTACTCTCACAAACTTATTTGTCGCTCGTAAAAGCTGGTGCGCTCTTAAGGACCAAAAGTTACCTGTAGACGTAGCTTACATCGATTTCAGCAAAGCTTTCAACAAAGTTCCGCATAACCGGCTGTTATATAAGCTAAGGAATGTCGGGATAGGAGGCAATCTATTGATGTGGATAAAAGACTTCCTAGTTGGGCGTCAACAAAGAGTACGGGTGAACTCTAAGTTGTCTAGCTGGGAAAGTGTGATTAGTGGAGTCCCCCAGGGTACAGTTTTGGGGCCAGTGTTATTCGTAAATGACCTCCCCCGTCTACTATCGTCATCGGTCTTACTCTATGCTGACGATGTCAAGATATGGAGAGTGATACAAAGTAAGGGCGATAACTTAGAACTTCAAAATGACCTGGAGAGATTATCTGAATGGTCCCAAACCTGACAATTGCCGATAAACACTTCCAAGTGTATTGTGATGCATATTGGCCACCAGGGTACAGATACATACACGATGAATAACACTGAGTTACCTATTGTCCAGGCACACAATGACTTAGACGTCATCGTTAGCCAAGACTTAAAGACTACTGCACACTGCCGTGCAATAGCCGCCAAAGGTTTTAGGACTTTATGGTCCATACGCAGGGCTTTTAGGCATCTTGACGCTAAAACGTTTCTGGCTTTGTATACAGTGTTCGTACGTCCTAAACTTGAGTACTGCATACAAACGGCTTGCCCCTGCTTGAAAAAGACAGCGAACTCTTGTAAAGGGTTCAGAGAACAGCAACTAGGCTGATTCCCGGAATAGCGAAGCTCCCGTATGTTACTAGACTGACCAAGCTAAACCTATTCCCGCTGCCATATAGAAGAATCAGAGGCGACTTGATTACAGTTTTCGAATTGCTTAATGACAAATTTGCACCTGATATGCCCTCATTTTTCTTGTCTTCCAAAACAAAAAATCTACGAGGACACTCCAAAAGAGTTCACAAGCCCAGAACGAATTACTTGTCAGCTGACTACCGACTTTTCCATCGAATCATCAACGAGTGGAATTCATTACCTCAGCACGTGGTTGAGGCTCCATCCGTCGACTCCTTCAAAAGAAAGTTGGATCAGCTGAGAGACCATCATTGCCAGGACTAACACAGGCCAGCCCCTAAATGCCCTGGTACGGCCGAGAGTGGGTAGAGTTTGTTCTCCCTCTCGAAATGCCCTCACATGGCCACGCGAATATATAGATTCTGTCAGGGAAGTTCTACTCACTGCCTTCTCGTGGCGGGGGTGTTGTTTACGAAAGTGAGAGGACGAAAAGCGAATGTCCGGCGCTATAACCGGGTTGGTGGATATGGAAAGTTCACCTAGGGGAGTTGGAAAACCCTGATTCAAATCCAATGGTGCACATGGGCTCCAGTATCCTGATGGAACGAATGACGAACGAAACTACTGTTGGTCACCGGCTACCATGGGACTGCATCTCCTCACGATCCTCCACTGCCTTGTGGACTAGACCTTCAGGTCGAAGGCTCCGAGTATGGCCCTCTTAGAAAACCACCTGCTTCAGTCTGGGCACCTGGGCAGTATCACAGCCCTCACACAAATCAAATGAGATTTGTGAGGCGCATATGTAATTATTGAGTTAGCATTTACTGAACAACCGGCTGTTTTAGCATACTCCTGCATGGCTGTTTTGTTTGCTCTCTTCATATTCATGTGTACTATAATTTCATTGTAGATTATTTCACAAGTCTCAAAAAGCCTCTCAAGGTCGCGGAGGCAAGTTTGACTATCGCAGACTTCCCGTATTCGTTAATGTTGTAATTTGTAGACGTCCTTTGAGCGACGCTAAACTTACATAGTGAATATCCACCTACTAAATAGGATTGAATGACGATCATTAACCAGTGCGATGAATTAGAATTATAATTTATAGTTAAAGGTTAGGGTTTAAACCCTAAGTCTAATTCATCACGAACTATAGTTATAACATGAGTTATAATGCCAAAACGCTATTTAGCAGAGTGGATGACTGAGTTTCGCGCCCAAATCCAAGACCTGTTATCTTACGTTTGATTGGTTCGTCCATAAATTACGATCTCGCGCCTTGTTGTTATATATCTTCGGAGTTATGTTAATTATTTTAGGCAATTCGCTTCTTCCTACAGAAACTCATCATTATAAGTCCTCACAAAAACATATGCCAATGAACTATTTTCCCCACCAAACGGATAGTATCTAACTACCGGCCTGTTAGCCTGACCAGTATAGTTGTTAAGTTACTTGAAAAATTAATTCGGGCTAAGCTACTGAGCCACATAGATTCGTACAATCTGTTAACTCCCGAGCAACATGGGTTTCGTAACAAGCATTCATGCTTGACTAACTTACTCATTGCGAGAGAGGATTGGACAGCTGCCCTAGACAACGGCCAGTCTGTCGACGTGATATTTATAGATTTTAGCAAAGCGTTTGATAAGGTTTCACACTTAGGTCTTATGCAAAAGCTCTCGAGCTTTGGTATAACAGGTGCTATACAGGAATGGATAGGAAGCTTCTTATGTGACCGCAGACAGAGAGTGAGAGTCAATGGAACTCTATCCGAATGGAAACCGGTCAGAAGTGGTGTACCCCAAGGCACCATCTTGTGCCCTTTACTTTTCCTTCTGTATATTAATGAACTACCTTTATTACTTAAGTCGTCGACGTTATTGTTTGCGGATGATGTTAAAATCTGGAGAACAATAAGAAATGAGACTGATCGTTGTTATCTACAAGCAGATTTAGACGAATTAGTTAGGTGGGCTCATGATTGGGGCCTGGAAGTTAATTCCAGGAAGAGCGTGTTCATGCACATCGGGCACCATATTAGTTACCACTATACCATTAATGGTACATCTCTGCCACGCGTTCATGCGCATAAAGACTTAGGAGTAATTATAAGTCACGACTTAAAAACTACTACGCACTGCAATGCGGTTGCTTCCAAAGGCTATCGTGCGCTATGGTTGCTTCGCAGAGCATTTAAATGCTTCGACGAGGATGTTTTTCGAATTTTATATCCCACCTATGTAAGGCCACACTTAGAATACTGTATCCAAGCAGCTAGCCCTTGTCTGATAAAGGATACTAAATCGCTTGAGCGTGTCCAGCGTGTAGGAACAAAATTAGTAGAGGGTCTTTCCAAACTCCCTTACGATGAGCGTTTAAAACGTCTAAATCTTTTCCCCTTATCTTATCGTAGGACGCGAGGTGACCTTATACTGGCATTTCGTATCTTTAATTATGATCTGGGTGTTAATATGTCTTACCTTTTTGCTCCCTCCAGCACTAATAATCTCCGGGGTCATAGCAAGAAGGTTCTGAAACCGCGATCTATTAAACTAAAGGTGGGGTCCCGTTTTTCTCATCGAGTGGTCAATGACTGGAACGCTTTACCAGAACAAGTGGTATCAGCACCATCAGTGAACATTTTCAAAAAGAAGCTGGACCTTCACTGGAAGAAAATCTGTCAGGATTAACACAGGTTCATCAACCTACTATCCTTATTACTGAAGACTGAAACCTACGTCCACTTCTCGCTAAAATGTGTGCCAAAAAGGGTTATTTTCCTGATAAACACTCAAAATCTGGTTTTCTCGCAAGTCTACTGTCCAACTAAACTTTACACAATCTCCAATCTTGTGGAAACTTCGAGGTGTTCTGCAAAGTGTGGGCAAATAATGGGGGAGACTCTGAATTTCCTGAAGTGTTTTTGCGATTCCCTCAGGATAACTTGAAGCTGCAGGCAAAAAGCCCAGACCAGGGGGAATTTTATAGTTTTGTGCCATGCCCTCAAAGTTTTCTATGGTGGCTTCCCCAAGATGGTTAAAGTTTTCAATAAAGGGAGATAGGGTCTACTGCCTACTAAATATCTTCGACCTTTACACACAGTCAATAAGATTCGTAATAATGGTTTATGCATGAAGAAACGTTTATTCACAGGAACTCCAATCATAGTTATTAAAATTATTCACACCAAGGTACTAGTCGAAGATCATCGACTCTGTAACTGACGGATATCAGTATCCCTAATCGGAATCTGAAAATAGGAAAAAGGTAGGATTTTACGCAAGCTTTACTAAACGTACGTAGTTACTAGGAATGTCTCACTTGAAATGTAGTACTGAACCTTGAAAACTAGCCAGCTACATCCCGTTTTACTTCAACACACCAAATCCATGTAAAAATGTCGATGTATTTGAAAGGAACGTCTCAATAAAAAACGATTAGTATGAACATTCAGTTAGTCACAACGTAGAACTTCGTAGTAAGTACATCAGTTCGAGTTGCCATACCACATTAGCACAGAGATGCAGTTGTCGATTCAAATCCCATAGTGGTAGAAGTAGTAAGAGTATAAGCAGTACTTCGAAAGATTAGGGTTTGAAGATGTTATTAAAGGAGTATAATTTAGTGAAATAAATTCGAAAAGAGAAAACGATAGAGACATGAATTCAGAAGATTAGAATGTGGCAGAACACAAAGAGTGGATGCACCTTTGCCATTGCAAACGATTTCGAGCCATGTCATTCCAGGTCTCCAACCATCGATTGCTATCATCTCGCGAATCTCAACCAGGTAGTTTACGCCTACCAACATGGCTCAGTCCACTTGTCACTGACTTCATGGATTTGTGCCACGTTTTGGTCTGGCCACCCCTAACTTTCTTCCAACCTACATTACATTCGCACACTCTTAAGATGTCAGTAAGCAATACTGTTTTCGTCATTAGAGTTCAGAGATCAAGCAACAGTAGGCAATCATTACGGTGTTTTTTGTAAAGTGTTTATTACGAACTTACGACAATATAAAGTGGAGCCTACAGTAATACTACATAGAGTTAATGTCTGCGTTTAAAAGCGAAAAGCAGCACTGTAGATTGTCATATTATCTTTCCTTCCATAATAATACTCACATCTCTTATGTTGTGAAAATAATCTTGAGTAGCGTTGTCGTAAACTTTCACTAGATCTCTTTCACTAAAAGCATAAGAGTCTAAATGCAGATGCACCTAATGAATAAAGCTCCTAAAACCAGTCTTAAGGCTGGCACAAGAGTTATTGTGCTGTCGTAAAACCCGAACTTATGAAAACTGCTTTTTGTGTCAGTCCTCAGCAATGTAGACTTAAAAGCCAGCTCAAGCTCCATAATGGAAATAAAATGTATCTTCGAGATGTTTTTGCCTCTTTATCCGTTAGCATAATTATGATAGCAATATAAAATGTAAAATAATCTAGTTGAATTAAAAATTCATCTCATGTATCATGTTTAAAATGTTTCTACTGCCAACTGTCCCTCTTTAGTCTACAAAGAGAACTGTTCATTTGATATCTTGTCAAATGTAGGCGTTCTAGATAAGAACAGCGCTTATCTTATAATCGCAAACTGTTTCGACACCCTGGTTGCAAATTTCGATAGAGTTACATTTATGCTTGTTAATTTAGAAGACTGGAGATAAGTCATGTTGTTTGACGGGTACCCTAATGTTAATCATTTTAGGAACGGACTCAAATTTCTGTGAATAAATAGTTTTTCATTCATAAATCATTATCCTAAATCTTATTGACTACTTTGGAAAGTTGTTTTTACCGAAGAAATAATGGCTAACGTCGAAGGTATTTAGCGGAAAATCGATGAAGCAGAAAAACAGGCAACTTCTATGTTTTCGAAAGTAAAATTATTGAGGAAACCACAGCTTATTTCATCCATAATTCTATTCTTTCCCTATAAACCTTTTTATATTGTTCGGTTTTAGAGGAGACTTGTCTGATTGTACAACATTCATATGTAACAAGTACAAAGTGATGCAATTTAAGAAAGGCGATCTCAAGAAGTGTCCAATGAGAACAGCCGGAGATGTTGTTAAACGTGTTTTATGGGATGAAAAAATTCCTCAGAAATGTATAACAATTGGATATTTGGATAGGTTTAAAGGGATTCTAGAAAAGCCTTTCGATGATTTTTCGTGGGAACCACTAGATAGTTTAGATTATTTCACTTTTGGTGTACCTGAACACCGCATTCAGTACTTTAAATACAAGGATATAGTTGTATGGGATAAACGTTTCAGAATAGATAGGGTTTTTGGTAGTAGCCGTTCAACTAAGACAATACGAGATGTAATAGAAAACTATGAAAAGTATTGTAAGACTTCTCGAGACATTCCTGATGTTCAGCTCAGCAATTCAGTTGATGTTTTTTTGAACTGGAATACAAAGGCTGCAAAAGACACCTGCGCATCGGAAAGTCAAACAGAAGTGTCGTTAAAAGAGACGACCAAGCAAAGAATAAAAAATAAACCGAATTTCTTCATTTGTCGGAAAATCGAATCTCCTGATTTCGTAGAAAAAGCGTTAAAAGTTCAGTCAAAAATCTGTGACACTCAACCGTACTATAAAGATTGTTGTATTGACTCGAAACTATTTCATCTTACACTGTCAACATTACGACTGGAAGGTAGTTTGCAAGTAAGCAAGTAGATTTTTAGTGAATGTTTCAGTTTTGAATGAGATTTTTGTTCTAAAGCTGTATTGTAACTTTAGTACAGTTTTACAGATCTGCCGATTTACATAATTTAAATAAAATGCCTTGAATCATCCCACTCGTTAAGTTTAAACCATGAAGTATGTCATCACTTAATTTTGACTGTTTCTAGACAAACAGATAATAAGCTAGTAGTGATCGATACTGTTATGTTTTCCGGGAATTATGAACTGTGACACTGTTAAAGTACAATTATTCTGTGATATAACTCGTTGATTATAACCGAACTACGTATCCGTTCGTCCGACATAGTAATCCAATCGTAAAGACCATATTCACCACCTTCGATACCCCTCAACTGCTATTCCATACTATTAAAGAATATCTTTCAGTTGGCCGTATGAAATGCTTTCCATTCTTAAACATTTTGAAGTTTAAAAATGCATAGCACTTCTGATGTTTGTTTGAAAATGACTTATTTCCATCACTACATATACCATCTTGCTATCAGTATTTATTTTTGTTAAATAATCACTTGTGTGATCTACTTTATTGTTATCAATAACTGAAAACTTGGCTTGATTAGTCCAATAATTTTCGTAAACAAAACTGTAGAGTAGAAATTAGTGAAACCCGATTGAAAACAATACCGTTTTCATATATCTCTTGTAAGGCACATAATTTTACTGCCATCCATCCACTCTACACTTCTACATACTTGGGTGTGTGTGAGTCAGTTAAATAAACAAAGAGTAAACGTACTCTTTGTAACGGTAATAATTTCGCCTCGGTGCTGTTGTTGTAAGTGCGACGACTTACTGTACTACAGTGACATCTGTTGTTTTTCCAGTAGACATAAGCTTATTTTTTGATCATCTTAGTAGACTTTATTTCTCATTTTGTAGATATCTGAGTGCATGGAAGCCCTCAGAAAGGCGGAAACAAAGCTTTGTAGATTTGTTCCAACAAATCAGTTAACAGTAAAAGGTGTGGGTAACTTCCACGGCCGAGTTTTATATGCAGCAGTTGAGTCCAATGAAAATTTGAATTTGTTTGTCGATCAGTTAAATCAGATTCTACATGTGGCCGGATTCCATACAAATGATCAGAAAAAGTTTAAACCTCATATCTCTCTGATGAAGGTATGTATACTTTTGTTTTTAAAGGATCTCATTTTAAACAATCACCGAGAACGAATAAGTATTAAGCAGGTGTCTTGTATCATTACATAATTTTTCACAAGTGCCCACCTACGTATGTTCAAGAATGTGAAATTTAACTTAGTCTAGCTCATTCGTGCTATTTACTTTGATTTTTTTAAAAATCTTTCTTGAAGTCTGCTCAAGTTTTTGCGCTTGAGTTGTGTGGATATTAAGGTTTACAGACTACTTCCAGGTGCTTTTTGATGAACTGGTTGAAATAATTGAATGACGGCTCACAGTGAACCCTAACATTACAAACTGACTCCAATGATATGCTTTTGTTGATGTAGAGTCTACATGTGTCTGATGCTAACACTGAGTATAAAATTGACTAACTAAATCACCTACAGGCATCTGCTTAGGTTGTCGCAAAGAACTTGTATCTCTTTAGCCTATTCATTTAGTATGCCACTTTATATCAGGTCAGCTTCTTTTAATTAAGATCTTGTCGATCAAACCGAAGTTACTATTAAAGGCTTACAGGTACATAAAGTTAAATTCAGGACGTCAGTAAATGAAATGCTAATCTAAACATGTACATTTTAAGATTACTTTCCACGACTGTTGCTGCTACTTTGACGTGGTGGTGGTCGAGCTTACCTATCGTGATAAACCAACCGAGCTTTACTGGCTGAAACAATCGCCATTCACGGTCCTACCATGACAGACAGGTCGGTTGAAGAACAGCAACCTCAAGGTCCGAGGGCGAAGTCATACTGCTGACTCTACAGAGGTGTGATGGCAGTAAGGTGTTTCCTTCAGACAACCAGCATAACAGCAATGCTACCTTCCTACAAAGGAAGCGTGGGGTTAGAAAATGTCCACCCTAAAAATGCACACCTTGTCTTATCCCACTGATTTCCGTCTCCAGCGATAAGGTCCCAACAAGTACGGAGGTGACACAAAAAGGTGACCGGCCTCAGGTAGTTGTCCTTTGGGCGCCGCGGCCACGCTCTTAGGCCACTAGGACCACCTCTAACCCAATTTCTTATTTCAGGTACCCCTAGAAGAATCCTTTCATGGTATGGGCAACCGGGAGCTGATAACCGCCCACATACTTCTAACAGCACTCAATATCATTGTATTCATAATTAATCTCCCTCTTCAATTCCAATTATTTCTCTCACTTCGACTTCCAACTCTAAACTCCCTCCTCAAGTGTCACCATGACCAACGATTCCAGTGTGCGAAACACTGTTCCAGGTCTACTGAAACCTCGAGGCTTCAACGTGCGCACCCTACGTCAAGTCGATCAGCAGGCTTACTTGGCTAAAATTCTAGAATCTCGTACTATTGATGTGTGTTGTGTCTCCTAAACACACATACAGGATCCAAGTTGGTCATTCATTTCACCTCACTAAAACGGAGAGCCGACGAAATACATCCTCCGTTTATCTGGCGACCCGAAGGCTAGTTCTTGTGGACTGGTGGGTGTAAGCATAGTAATGAGTACGAGGGCAGAACAATCACTATTAGAATGGATTCCCGTTAACAGTCGCTTATGTGCTGTTTGGCCAAACTGCTCCGTAAGAACTCAGAAGGATAGGGACACACGTCGTTGCATTTTCATCGTTTCTGCCTACGCTCCCAATGCAGCCTAAATGAAGTGAAAGATGACTTTTACAAAAAGCTTTCTGAAATTCTTCCAAAAGCTAAACACTCAATAATAGTACTCAATGCAGGTGACGATGATACCCAAGTAGGTAGCTTAAACCAAACAAAAAGACATTTAGTGGGTACTTTATTATCACGGCTCAGCGAACAGATAATGTTGATCGTCTGCTGCAACTGTGCTCAGACAGTCGTTTATTTTTAGCAAGCATTAATTTTAAGCATAAAGAGAGACATCGTCTAATATGGCAACTGCCTGCGCCGAACCAACGATGCGCTCAAATAAACCATATCGCTGTCAATCATCATTGGATAGGCTCGGTGAAAGACTGTCGCTCGTTCTGGAATACCTGTTTGGACTCCGATCATGCTCTAATACGAGCACACATCTGCTCGCGCCTCACTAGATCCAGAAGAACCACACTAAGAAAACCCATTAGAATTGAACTCAGTGACGAGGAAGCTAAAAATAGATTCTAAAAACAGCTAGGGTCACATTTAGGTAATTTTGAGAACGAGGCTGACCCTAATGTTGCTTGGCAAGGTATACGAACAGCTGTGAAAACAACAGTGACATCTTCTGGTGATTTGAGCGAAACGGTTATTTATTTAAACACATATATATTAGTACAAAATAGCACCAGATACATATGCGCCACACAAAATAATGAAAGTAGGAAGAGAAGGGATGAAAAGATAAGGCGGACTGAAATGTACAACCAGAAGACTCTTTCAGTTAAGAAAGTTAGAACCACTCTTTATGTAGAAAGTAAAAGAAGGTTGCAGCAGGATCGCCACTGGCTTCTATTCTGAGCCATATCCGATAACGTCTCTAGCCACTGTGTTGCACCCTCTCTCGGACCCCAGCCAGGGAGTCGTGAAGGACCAACAGAAGCTAGCCCTTTGCAGCTTTCTTTCATGCCACGACACCATGTCATACACTGACCTCCTCTCCGCTTTTTCCAACCAGTCCCAGAGTCGGCAAATAATGCACGACGTGGAAGTCTCTGGGACGACATTCGTAACACATGTCCAAGCCACCGAAGTCGGTGTTTCAAGATGGTGACACCAATTGAATTATCGTCTCTGCGCCCGAATACACGATGCCGAACCTCTGCATTACTAACATGGTGTTGTCACTGTATGTCAGCAATCCTTCGGAGACAACGATGATCGAACACAGAGAGACGTCTAACATCCTCAACTCGGAGAGGCCAGGTTTCACAAGCATGGAGCAAAACTGCTCTCACCGACGCGTTGTAGATCCGACCTTTTACAGCCAGACTAACATCACGAAGGCGCCAAAGATGGCCCAGATTGGCATAAGCCGCTCTGGCTTTCATTATACGTGCATCGATCTCATCAATCTCATCACTCATCACCACCAGCACTTATATAGCTACCTAGATACACGAACTTCTCAACTACTTCAATCTGTTCACCATCCAGGGTGAGTACAGGATGAGAATCCTGCCAGTCTTGTAGGAGTACTTTGCACTTGGAGGGTGCAAAGCACATGCCGTACCTGCGGACACTGATTGCCAACTGATTAAGTGCGGATTGCATGCCTTGGGCATTATCGCACAGTAAGACAATATCATCCGCATACTCGAGGTCGAGAAGTCGTTCTCCAGGCAACATATCCACACCGCCATTACTTACATCCATCGGAGCTGTTTCCAGGATGTCATTGATGGCAAAGTTGAAGAGGAATGGTGAGATCGGGCAACCCTGCCTAACCCCACTGCTCGAATGGAACAAGGGAGAAAGGTGGTTGTATGCCCTCACTCTGCCTGAGGTGTTCGTGTACAGGGCCTTTAAGATGTTAATGAACTTCTCAGGCACACCCTTCTTCAATAGACAATCCCAGAGAACAGTCCTGTCCAACGAATCGAAGGCCGCCCTGATATCAAGAAACACTACGATTGTTGGCCTGCGATAAGTATGACGGTGTTCTAACATTTGGCGGAGGGTGAAGATGTGATCAATGCATCCTCGACCAGAACGAAAACCAGCCTGCTCCTCGCGAGTCAATCTGCCTCGGGTTTTAAACAACCTACGAAGAATGATAGAAGCCAATAGTTTGGACGCAATCGGAAGTAGACTTATCCCCCGATAGTTATTGCAGGAACAACGCGAACCCTTTCTAAAGATAGGGACGACTATTGACTCATTCCATGATGTTGGAACACTTTCTTGCTCCCAAACCTTTGCAAACAACACCGTCAGTTCCTTAGCCAGAAAGTCACCACCATCTTTAAAAAGAGCCGGAGGTAAGTCATCTGGGCCAGGTGATTTGTAGCGCTTCAAGAGTTGGAGTTCCTTGCGGACTTCCGCCTCGTTTGGTGGATCAGTCGTCACCGGCCATGGGGGGCAAGACAAACTGGTTGATGTTGCCGGAGCAGCAGGCCAGTTGAACTGCCCTTCGAAAAATTCCGCCCATCGTCCAAGACATCAAGAGATGTTAGTGATTGGCATCCCGTCATCCTCGTAGATTGTTTCACTCACACCAGACTTCTTGCTGCCAGTGGCTCGGATGAGTTGGAAGAGCTTCCGGCAGTTACCAGATGCAGCTGCTGCTTCCATCTTATTAGCACGCTCCGACCACCAGACTTCTCGGTCTTTACGCATGCTTTGCCCGATTTCATTACGTAACAGCCTTCGTTTGTGGTCAAACTCACAGTCACCCGGAGTAGACCGACGAGCTTCCATCAGTTGTAAGGAGCCAGAAGAAACCCAGTGCTTGTAAGCGGGACGTTTCGCGAAGCCGCAAGCGGCTTTACTCGCCATTTTCATGGCGTCGTGAAGATGCAACCAATGCTCATCTATACTTTTCGGTGGGATGGTAGCTAGCCTAGAGGCTAGCTCTACTCGATACTTACTTGCAACAGATGTTGCAGCCAGTTTACTAACATCGATCAGTTGGTGGTGGTCAATCCTTCGGCCACTGAAAAGTAAGGTGAGATTGGCGCAGACCAGGGCATGATCAGACTCCAGGTAGGTACTCCAAAAGGAGCGGCAGTCTTGTACACAACCACGTCAGCGGCAGCTGATCGCGATGTGATCAATCTGAGTCCAGGCTTGAGATGCGGAGGGAGGACGCCAGGTGGCACACCGGCGATGACTGTGCCGGAAGTTAGTGCTAGCCAGAAACAGGTTGTGGTCTGTGCACAGTTGCAGCAAACGGTCCCCGTTATCTGACCTGCGACCAACAAGTCCCCATTGGCCACCTAAACGACTCTCTTCTGTGCCTAGACGCCCGACCTGAGCATTCAAGTCTCCGGCTAATACTACAATATCTGTCGAACGCGCTTTCTGGAGAAGAACTGTTAACTGGTGGTAAAACTCATCCTTGATTGCATCCGGGCTGCAATCTGTCGGGGCATAGGCGGAGATGACGAAAAGACACCGTTTCTCACGCCGGTCTCTTCTCACTTTGATGGAACTTTATAATCTAACAGCACATAACCGACTGTTAATGGGGATCCAATCGATTAGTGCTGCCTCAGCCTTAGCGCTTAGTGCAAAAGCAACGCCTGCAAGACCAGATGAAGATGCCACGGGGTCCCCGAATAAGCGCACGTGAAACAATCTTTTCGAAGCGACAGATGGAGAGCGAATTTGTAGTACTTCACTAGAGTCTTGAATACGGGTCTCGGATAGACAGCAAGCATCAACATTAAGACTTTCTAAAGACATAGCCAGCCCCATCTGTTGTCCGATCTGCATTAGTGTGCGAACGTTGAAGGAAGCCAGCTTGAACGGCGTACGTGGTTTCAGAAAGACTGCTTCAGTATTCGTAATCGGTGGGAGCATTCACTTTCAACCAGACAGTAACTGGAGATCGTTTAGATAGGACAGAGTTTCCACCATGGGCGAGCTACTGCATAAGTTGGAAAGGAAGGATACACAATTTGGGAATAAAGGGAGTGAAAAAGCGATGTAGTAAATAATAGTAATAATAATAATAATAATAATGGTAATAACAATAATAATAGTGTAAATTGTCTTGCTTCTAGTATGAGCGAGAATAGTATCGTCAATAGAATTCATCATTTCAATTATTTGTGTGTGGGCTGTGATACTGCCCGGGCGCCCAAACCGAAGAGGGTTTTCTTAGGGGGCCACACCCCGAGCCTTTGATCTATAGGTCTGATCCACAAGGCAGTGGAGCATCGTGAGGAGATGCAGTCTCATGGTAGCCGGTGACCAACAGCAGGTTCGTTCGCCATTCGTTCCATCAGGATACTGGAGCCCATGTGCACCATTGGTTTTGAATCAGGGTTTTCCAACTCCCCTAGGTGGACCCTCCGTGTCCACCAACCCGGTTAAAGCACCGGATATTCGCTTTTCGTCCTCTTACTTTCGTAAACAACACCCCCGCCACGAGAAGGCAGTGAGTAGGACTTCCCTGGCAGAGGCTATACATTCGCTGGCCATGTGAGAGCATTTCGAGATGGAGAGTAGACTCTCCCCACTCTCGGCCGTACCAGTGCATTTGGGGGCGAAACGGTTACGAAAAATCAAATCAGACCTAGGCTAACCAAACGTCTAAGAAACAACCGTGAACTTGGCTCCATAGATCATTAGGAATCGTGGTCAATTTTTAGCGACTAGGTTGACTAATATTTTGGCTAAAATCTGGGAATTCAACGTAATCCCATTTGGCTGGCCACAATCTCTGATTGTCCCAATATATAAGAAGGGGGCAAAATCATCCTGTAATAACCATGGAATGATTAGTTTGACCAATATAGTATATAAAATACTAGCCTCAATAATTATCGGGCGCCTAACTAAGACTCGTAAACTCCAAACACCAGAAAATCAGGCTGGCTTCAGACCTAGTCGTAGCCGCATCGACCACATACCACTCGTCAGGTCTTAGAACACAGGCATACTTATGGGCGTCCGACAATTATAGTTTTACCTGACTTAAAAGCGTCATTTGACTCTGTAGACCGGGAGGTTCTGTGGTAGTGTCTGTCATTGAAAGGTGTACCTCACAAGTACATAAGAAGATACTGCAGATCATTTCTGTTGTATTAGTTCATTTCGATTAGTGATTTTCTTGATCACTCAAGTTCTGAAGCTTGTTACTCGTTGACATTAAGTAGTAGCTGAAAGTGTGAGTCTCGCTGGGTTTCCGATGTTACTAATGATTTGTAACAATGAAAAAATCGACTTGCTCCGAAAATCTAACACTAGACACGGCCATTGCTGTTATTCAACCCATTAGTCAGTAATACTGGATACTTTTAGTTATCATATTATCATTGTGATTATCATCTATTGGTTGTTTTTGGAGAAAGTACATTTAGTTATATATTTTCAATCTTAGATGAATCGTTCAGTATCAAAAAAAGTTGGTACGAAAAAAATCGACCCCAATCTGTGTGGTGAATTTCTAGATACGGAGTTTGGAGTATTCACTCTAGATTCAATTTACCTGTGTGCAATAGGAAGACACTATGATGATGATGGTGGTTTCTATCGTACTATCGGAAATTTACACCTTGTAAACCCGATTTCTAAATAAGGTGATTTTTGTAAACTTACTGTATATTTCTCGTGATATTTTAATAACTTTTTCCTCGAGTCAACCAAATATTAGTGTTGTCCATTATTTTATTTCTCAAAATCTTGATTTTAGTAGCTATACAAGGTATACGGTTAAATATTTTTCTGGTCGCAGTTTACTCACATGGTTGCATTATCAGTTTTAATAATCACTGTTTTAGGGGTGGACAGTTTCGTCTACGAACAGTAGCAAAATATTGCCTACTTGCACGTCCAAAGAAACTTTAAAACTCATATTGCTTGTCAGCAGCCCTCTTCATCTTTTGAGTTCCTCTTACATTTATTGTTTTCATGTCGATATTGTGAATATGACTGCTATTACAACCATTTAATTTATAACTAACTAAAAACTCAGGCTTGTGAAATACCATCCTTGGTCTTCCACAATCAGGTTGTACATTACTGCTTTTTATATTCTGATTCTATACTCCATTGATTAGTCGAGCTTTATATTCCAAACCTCTTTATCACAGAATTCAGCCTTGCCAAAACAATGGAAGGTGTGATATAAGCCAACTCAGTGCCTAGCTATTATATTTAAACACGGGACTAAAGCATGAGCCCCTAAAATACAAGGAATACTACAATGAGTGGCAGTCAATAACCATATATTCTGTTTATTTGGGCGGGTTTGTGAAGACATAAAGCGGAGGTATTCGCAAATTATCCTATGCGGCTACCTACCACAGTCCGGATGATAAAATATCGACTTTATCGAAAAGTGAAGGTTCTATTTACTTGCGGTATCATGAGCTTGCCTGGAGGTGACTTTTAACTCAATTCGTGGGATTACTTTAGACTCAAAATAGTGTTCAGGGGCTGCTGTTAACTTAGTTTTGCTACAAACACGACCCTTAGGATAACTCCCTAAATCCGGATTTTTAGGGCTTTTTTTAATGAATATATTGCTTGTGCAAAATATACTTACTGAACAAAGTTGGTGAAATATAAACCTATTTCAGTTTTCTACGTAAAAATACTGAACTACATAATGAAGTAAAAATGACTTCAGTAAGTTCCTACCCAAGGTATACAATAATGTTTTGATACTCCGTATATATCATTAAACGCGCACTAGGTAGCGACTCACTATAACTTCCTATTTTTAGCATAAACGTTAAAATGTAAGGTGAGGTTTTATATAAAAATGTGTTGTCATATTAACTTTAACCTTTCACTCTTTTGATTTTGGTTATTCGTATTTCAAACCGTAAAAATAACAATTACTCATACTGTGGAACATGTAACACCATAATTAAGGAGATAGAAACAGGAACTATATATTAACATGACTAGATTGCAAGTTTTATAAGTTCACGAGTCGTTTTATCTTCTGGAAAAATTTACAAAATTTCCAAACTTTATAGTCTTCTTGCCAAATACCTCGTTTCATTCGGATTGCTTTCGCAATAGCTGAGGAGTACTTATTGCGAAAGTTATATGGCAAATCATTGAAGCTTTTGTGGTTAGCTATTCCATTAACTAATAAGTGGTAAGATATATCTTTTTTAAAAACACAACACTGCAACTATATACAAGAATAGTAAGTTACTCGTTTGTAAATTATGGCCAATAGTTCCGAATCCTCAAAAATTGGTTTTACAGGGATGAAAACCACACGTTCACCTGGGTGTATATTTTGCTGTAACCATTGTATACTTAGTCCAGAATGCTGCACAGGAATACAAATCTTTATAGCATTACCTGTAATGTAATCCTTTAGAGAACAACGTACCATATGAAACTTGGAAAGGTAGTTTAACCTTAGGCACATGGAAAACCTCCAATTCGCCGGTAGAATTGATAGATTTAACCAAACCTTTTAGATGTATCTGGCGGCTGTATACACCAGATGGAATAGAATGTATGGAATTAAATTTGGTAAACTGAATGAATGTACGCATAAACCATCTTTAATTACGATATAAAAATGTCTCCCGAGAAGATATACTCCAATTACCAAAAGCGTTGTAGGCATTAACTGAATTATTCGATATAAGAACTGGTCTTACTCTTATAGCTTCTACATTTTCGTCCAAAAATTGTTGAAGTTTATTCATCGCACTATTCGCATAGCAGATAACTAGAGTAGCATTGTTTTAACGGACATAAACAGTTATGGGCTAAAAGGCGATGTTTTCGTGTTTTTTTCTGCCACTTATCTGCGTAAAAAAAGTTGGGTAACATGGTCAGGAGGGCTTGATTTGATGGTTGCAGTGTAGGATGAAAATATAAACGAGGAAAACACACCTCTGATGGGCTGCGATCCTGTCGATACTTTGGTGAAGGACGAAATTCCCCGGTCGATTTGAATCCCGCCGAAGCTTGTAAACGATGCCGAAATGTTCAACACTTTGTGGGTAAAGTAACTGGAATGAAACTCTTTTTAAGTGCATAGCCATTCAGCCGCACTATTATTCGTTTGAGCAAGCATTCATCATGGTAATAGAGTCTGGCACAGATATGCTTTGGCCAAATAGTTGTGGACTGAATAGAAGAAACTTTCATTCAACGGTAAATCGTAGTAAGTTGTTGTCCTTAGTCCTGAAGAATGTGTCAAGTTTCCTCTCAAAGAACTCCTGCGAAGTCGCTTGGACTAGCTCAGTTGGCAGTCGATTCCAGGATTTGACAACTCTTACGGAGTAGAAGTTGTGTCTACAGCCTGTTCTGCTATGTTGGGTATCCAGTTTCTGGGTGTTACTCCTTATGTTTGTAATAGAACTGAGCATTAGCAAGTGTTTAAGGAGATGCCTAGAAGTGTTAAGGATGCTGTAATCCATTAGAATATAGCTGTAAATAATTCCCCAAAATCAATAGCTCATTAAGTGTTCGACATTAGATGCTGACCACATTGTTTTGAATGGAATTGTTTAGCTGAAGGCTTTCGGTCATGCATCCGTACCAGATCACGTTACGAACCAGCGTGGGACACAGCTCCTACGTTCACTAACCAGATTAGAGTAAATGCTTCTCGGTATATTGATAACGTATCAAATATATCTTTCCTAACTCTTCGCATCTGACTTCTGGTTTTAACTAATTGGAGGACGATCCGAGTATAGGTGTTACTGGTTTATAGTTGCCAAACTAGAAAACTAGTCATATCTTCAGTGGTGCACCTGACGTGATCTGGTACGCCAAGTGAATAAACTGTGGGTCTGTTCCTTTTTGGAACCTCATTGTTAATTGTTTTTCTTTATTTGATATATATATATACATACATATATATTGTGATATACCTTTTTTCGGATATATTTTCATTATATATATTTTTTTGTTCTACTAATACTATGACGGAACAGTCACCTAAGGTTTCTAAGTTAAAATCTATTCCCCCACCTTCGATTCAATTAACGCCTTTTTGGCCTGACAATATCGAGTCCTGGTTCTGCCACGCAGAAGCTGACTTTTGCGGACACGGACTTGCGCACGCGATTCCTCGCGGTAGTTAAGGCGTTACTGCGCGAATTTAAGAGGTATGTAACACCTAGTATGTTTACTAGTGATGTTTCGGAACCTTACGAAACGCTAAAACGATCGATTCTGAGACGTACAGATCTAACGGACCGACAAAGTTTAAACCAACTCAATAACATCGACCTGCAACATTGTTCTGCGACAGATATGTTGCTTAGGATGAGAGAAGTGATAGGTCAAAGAACATTCGACGAAGGCCTATTCAAACATCTTTTCTTATCCAAACTCCCATAACAGGTGCAGGCAGTTCTCGTCTCGTTCCAAAACAACGCCGTAGACGAACTAGCTGCATCTGCCGATCAGATCTTAGAAATAATGAAGTCTACTAACGCTGTGGTCTTTTCAGTCCAAGAAAAGCCTCAAACGACCCCGAATGACGTCTCTGAATTATGTCATACTCTCACACACTACCTTCGATTTCACAATGATCGTAGTCGGTCAAGAACCGCGCGAAGAAGCGTATCATGTAGGCGATCTGTCTCTTGACCACGGGAGACAGATAATCCCGACTGGTGCTGGTATCATAACCAGTATGGCCACTGAAATGTCACTGAACCTTAGCCAAATCATCTGGCAGTTGGGTCTCTAAATATCGAACAGCTCATCGTTCTTCGTCAAGGTCAAGGACAATCAGCGCACATCAGTTAATCATACGCCATAGACAGGCCCATGCGGCAGTGGTTCTACCTCGCTTGTATCTACTTTAAATAATATATTCCTGTAATCACGTCCTTTGTGTTGTACAGTCTTCAGAGCATCCATGGTCCCTTGACACGTCGATGGGGCAATCCACGTAAGGTGCTGGTCGCAAGGTGTGACTTCGAAGTTAACTTGTTCGTTACACCGTTCCGGTCTAACTCGATTAGGCCTCCAATCATTCGACATAGACCACCAACGTTAGTGGTCTACAAGAAGGTCACCTCTAAGACACCTATACTCTAATTGGTAAAAGTTAAGTGATCGGAGGCGCTCTTCATAAAGCTTGAATTTGATTCCTCGAACTGATTTCGTGACTCGCCATTGGATACGCTCCAGAGTGTCCTTATCCTTTTGGAGGGAGGGATGAGATACTATGTTTCCGTACTCTAAATAGGGACGAATAAAACTTCAAAATTATGTGGAAAGTTCTACCGTCAAACTGGCCAAAAATGAGCTTCAATGTTATCAGTGCAAGGTTTGCTTGATAGGCGTTTTGCCACAGTTAGCGTACAACTTCAAGTCGTAGGGCACCAACACTCCTAAATCTTTAACAGCTTGGTATACTTCTAGAGAGGATTTTCCTAAGTTGTAACTGTAGTCTGCAACATGTCGCAGAGAGACTACCTTGCACTTTGAAGTGTTGAAGGTAAGTCCGTTGTTGTCTGCTCCACTTTGAAATCGAGTCAGATCCTCCTGAAATGCTAGTTTATCCATATGGTTACGTAGCTCTCTCCAAATTTTCACATCAGCAAAAAGCAATAATTCAGACGATATATTTTTTGAAAGATTGCTTGAGAGAAAGTAAAGTTAACCCTGACCATAAAAGTCGGTTTTCTAGATATAGCGAGTCAGTCAATTAAAGGTGGTTTGATACCTGAAGATACGGCCGGTATTGTAGTTTTACATCTATAAACCAGTAACACCTATATTCGAATCGTCCTCCAATTAGTTAAAACCAGAAATCAGATGCGAAGTGTTAGGAAAGATATATTTGATACGTTATCAATATACCGAGAAGCATTTACTCTAATCTGGTTAGTGAACGTAGGAGCTGTGTCCCACGCTGGTTCGTAACGTGATCTGGTACGGATGCATGACCGAAAGCCTTCAGCTAAACAATTCCATTCAAAACAATGTGGTCAGCATCTAATGTCGAACACTTAATGAGCTATTGATTTTGGGGAATTATTTACAGCTACATACCCAATTGTCTAAGCTTATTGATAAGACATATATGGTTGACCCTATCAAAAGCTTTTAAGAAATCAAGGTAAATGATATCAACCTTTCCCTTGCGATCAAGGATGCAAGTCTATCTGTCTTCCGCAGTCAACAGAACGGTTATACAAGAGTGACTCTTCCTGAAACCTTGCTGTTGGGGTGAGAAGTTTAAGACTAGTAAGTAGTCGTGTATACCATCACATATCAGGGACTCCACAAGTTTTGAAGCTATAGAGAGAAGAGCCACCGGTCGGTAGCTTGAGGGTTTGCTGTGCCGACCTCTTTTGAAAGTTGGTGTGATGTGAGTCAGCTTCTAAATTTCTGATAGTTTGTATCGGCACAGAGAGTGTGAAAACATCAGTGGTGTTGCCAGGATTGAGGCTGCAGAATGGTCCATATCCGGACCACGAGAATTGTCTTTTATTAGGTGCTGCAGTTTACGGAACACCAAGTCAGCACTCAGGTTCACTTAAGAAAGTCCTGTGCAAGTAAAGCTTTCATCAGTGTGGTCGATGTGGATCGCTTGAAATGTCCGAGAGTATTGTTCAGCCAAAAGGTTAGCGTCATCCTCGTCGTTATTGGTCGGTCCATTAGGGCCTAGCAATCGGGAAACTCCAGTTCTGGTCTGCCGAAAAGAGAAGCCTCATAACGGAACAAGCTTTGCGGATTGGAAACAAATTTATCGATAAGCTTGGTTTGGTACTGAAGCTTGTTTTCTCCTACTGCCTTTGTCCATATGTTCCTTATGTGTTTGTATTGCCTGTACGCGCAGTCGTTATAAGTTCGTTTGTATTCGGCCCAACCGAGCCTTTTGCGGCTTAGCAAACAAAGAGTGTGGTTCTTGATGATTGTAGTTTGTTTGTAGCTTTTTGGGACCATTTGAGGAACTGAATACCTGTTAGTGGGATATAGATTAGATTAAGCATGTTTTATGCATGATGGTGTTGCTGCGCGCTGATTGGTTAATTTCAAACCGATCAGCCCGGGCATATTATTGCAGAAAAATCTATAAGCTTCTTATGCATATACTATAAATATATGAACGATATTTAAACTATTGATTGCTGATTGCTGTTCACTTATCATTATTATTTTGAATACAATTTGATTCCTGTCCAATGTGTTCTGATTTTGGGGTCTTGTCGAGTGTCATCGTATAAGAATACTAAGCAATAGGAATAGCTGGGTCGTTTATATTGCAAAAATTACAATTATAACAATACCTAATAGCACGAAAGAGCGTTTGCAGTGAGAAATCCCAATGGACATCCATTCAAGTTGAGGGTGAACATTCCAATAGACCTGTTGTAGATAGTCCTGTAAAACTGGCACATTCAAGTGCTTAAAATTCTAACGCCTGTTGTTGGTGGGATATCGTAGCTCGGTTTTATTGACAAGACTGAAGGATAGGATGGCCTGAATCGAGAGGTCATCGATTAGGATTTCTTCATTTGTGAATACCCAGTCTACGCACCACGGCGTCCGACTGTTTCTCCGACGAGTTGCCGACTTCACATGTTCGAATAATCCCAGACCATCAAGAGGTTTAAGAACCGCGCTTCAGTAGAGTTGTCACCTTCAATGTAGGTATGTCCCACGAAGTTGATTCTAGGAAGATTGAAGTCCCCTAGAATCAGGATGTGAGAGAATCCAAGACGCGCGTGAGCAAGTTAATCCTTATAGTAAACGATTGTCTTACTCAGTGTCAGCAGTGGTCTTCCTGTAGATGACCCCGACTGAACACCTTGAGGTGGTAGACAATCTTACCGAGCACCATACTGATTCATGAAGATTGAGAAGCTCTTGATTGTGAAGTTGGTGCACATCCAGGCATGATCGTATGTATAATGCTACTCCATTCTCAATTCCTGTTTTTCCGTCGTTACGAAACAAGGACATCCCGTGTGTTGCTAGATCCTGGTCTGTAAACTAAGATGTCCAAGTTTCAGATATTCCTACCAGATGATAATTATTAGCATTTCTAGGTTCGCGTAGCTCATCCATTTTATTTGGTAAACTCGCGGCGTTCATGTATAAGCAGTTTATGCATTCAATTTGAAACGCATGAGCTTCTTCCTGTGTGTCTATATGAGTCTTACGTGAGTGGACAGGTGGCCTATCTATATAAGGTTTTCTGAATTGGTAACCCCTATCCTTTACACGTTTATTTTTATGAAGGCAGTCCACCAGTTAAATTGTCAGCTCCAATTTGCCTTTGTGCTTGATCCTGGCGTCATGTGGCTTACCAAGATGCTTGTGGATTCCGTATGGCAACCGACGTCGGTTGACACGAAAGGCTTCCAGAGTTGCAGCAGCCATATGGGAGGATGGGAAAGTTATCTTCATTAGCCGGGGTCTAGAATCTCCGTCCTTTTGGGCTAGTCTCGTCACATGTTGAGTCATCATGTTATTGAGCTTCAAAGATTGATTGATGAATTTCCATTTCCTAATATAAGAGTTTGTGTTACCAGGGTCCGTGTTTTCCGATACACCTTGCACAATAATATTTCTTCCGCGGAAGAACTTCTTGCGAGATTCCTTGTGGATGTGTCGGATAAGATCGAGCTTAGAATACGGTGTGTCAGACAGTATTCTTACGTTCCCATCGGATTTCAGTGAGTGACTCGCTAGCAGGAAATCCTCTGTGTCGATAGCATTCTTGAATGTTACACAAAGTAGCCTTGGGTAGTTTTGATGCCTAGAGTCCCTTCCCTAAGTGAGACGTGTGACCGTCAAAGGCTCTACTCTAGGAAGTTCAAACTACTCGTTTAATTCTCCTCAGAGCATCCTGTAATTTTCTTCCTGCAAGCTGCGGACAAGTTCAGGGTTGTCTTTAAGGTTCATGATTATGAGAGAGTCGTCACGAAACGTTATTGATTTACCAGGTTTTCCAGTGCTTCCAGGTTCGGCACCTTGTTGTTTGGAGGTGTGTTGTGACATACGACACACATTGACTTTATTTATAACATATCACTTAGAATTTTCAGCATGAACTTACGTCTAACGTGACTAAGTTGGGATCATATAGAGCCCGATAAAAGAATCTTTGTTGACCTGTTTCAAAACTCACTAAATAAGTAGGTTGCGTGATCTATTTACCTGTTTTTAATAGGTCTATCGGTAATGAACGAACATAAGTTACTTAGCATAGCTGAGCTTATACCGAAAAGTCGTAACAGAGATGTTCAGTAACTCTTATGAGGTGATACAAATAATTTCTAGGGACATCACTATCATGAGAACACTCATCCATTCTGATTAAAAAAAACAAGTAGACATTCAGTCTCAGCGAATTAACTATAAAGTCAAACCAACAAAAGAATATATCGTTTAGTTTAAGTCTGCTACTCACAAAAACACTTGCAGAAGCGCCACTCGGATCTTGCGGTACCTACTATTCATTATCCTTTGTTGGAAATGGGGAAAGGATATAATAATTATATGTGCAAGAAGTTTTTCCACCCAACAAACTTTGAAAACATAAAGAGAAAGTGGATGGCTGAACAGGCTAACGAGTACGATACGAAAAAGGAACTAGAGAAACTGAACCAATATCGACGGGAACAAGAAACTCTGGAAAACCGTGTCCTTCTAGGAGATGAAAAAGCTAGGCTAGGCTTAGCTTGGATGTATGACCAGCCTGCCTTGATGGAAAAGGTTAGTATAGAAGTATACATTAGCAATTATTCCTATAGGAGCAACCTGACGACAAAGAGGTCAAGTTTGAATGGCAAAGGAAGTTTTGTGCTCCAAGGGAAAGCTATTGCAAAAACTCGTCAGAGATCATAGATCAACCCTTCGCTATCGAGGTCCGAAACGTGCGATGTATGCGTTGCAAACAATGGGGGCATTTAAACACTGATCGTGTTTGCCCCCTTTTTGGTCAGTCTTTCACTAAGGAACCAACGACAAGCGATATGACTGGTCTTGACCAGGTTAAAAAAAACCTGCAAAAAGAGGGGCTTACTTTGAAGCGGGGAAGTGATCTTGACCGTTTTACATCTGTATTTAGCAAAGCAAAGAATGCACTGGCCAGTGTATCAAAGCAAACATCTGAAGAAGAAGATTCTCTAGCCATGGAATTCCTCAAAAACCTCACTGAAAGACAACGTGAAAAGCTACTTAAAAAACTTTCAAAGCTTTCAGATAAGACCCCAAAGCAAAGTCATAAATCTAAGCATAAACATTCAAGGAGGCATTAAGCCTAAATGAAAAGTGGCTCGGAATAATTTAGTTAAGCTGTACATACTTTCAAATTGTCCTTTTAACTAATTTGGTCTACACTAAAATTATTTATCAACTATCACTTCTCGAGACAAATATAATTTTCTACATTAAAACGCTTCATGCAATATTGTGTATTTGTTACTGAAAAAAACTCAAATAACATTTATCGTTTATATTCTTATGGCCACCATTTTATATTTATTTTATTTAGATACATGAATGTTGGTACAAGTTGCACCATATATATATGCGACACACAAATCTTACTTGGTTTATGTGAGAGCTGTGAAAATGCCCAGCTGACCGAACCGAAGCAGGTGGTTTTCTTAGGGGGCCAGACCCGGAGCCTTTTGACCTAAAGGTCTAACTCACAAGTCAGTGAAGCATCGTACGGAGATGCAGTTCCATGGTAGCCGGTGACCAACGATTGATTCATACGCCATTTGTTTCCTCAGGATACTGGAGCCGATGTGCACCATTGGTTTGAAATAAGGGTTTTCCAACTCCCCTAGGTGGACTCGCCTTGTCCACTAACCTGGTTAAAACGCTAGGCATTCGCTTTCCGTCCTCTCAGTTTCATAAACAACACCCCCGCCACGAGAAGGCAGTGACTAGGACTTCCCTACCAGAGGCTATATACGCGTGACCATGTGAGAGCATTTCGAAAGGGAGAACAGACTCCCCATTCTCAGCCATATCAGGGCATTTGCGGGCACAACCATTTTAATACCAGTCCACGAAATGGGTAGGTAAGAGGGCGAGACAGTGAGGCCATTTAATTGCAAGTTTGCTGCAATTACCTTAAGCGGGATTTGTCCGTGGATTATAGGTTCCCTTCTTCCAAAAAAGCTGACATGGAAGTATGGAGATCAAATTAAACAGTAACAATAAAATACTACCCACTTCGCTTATCGACCATGTTAAACACATCATGTCAATTTATGATTCCACATGACTCACAGGGGAAAGGATGTAAAATAGGATACGTAGGTGCTAAGGTTTTAGCCAACCGGAAAATTGAAAGGTCGATCGACTTTTATTAACGTTTGGGCAAGCGCTTTAAACATACCTCACAACAGATAGCATACATCAACGCTTATCCTTACTGGGGTATGAAGTGAACAGATAGGTAAGCGTCTAATGCGAAAAAGATTGGGTGTGCGTACGTAGACTGAGTCGTATTAGCTTGGAACCTAAATAATTTAATCCCAAGAGCCTTTGTCTACGTCCATAGGCTGATGCTGTCTTATCCTTTTCTCCATAAGACTGTAAATTATAATAAGTGTAGGGTCTCTTGTTGACGGACACAAGTAGTCCAACCGAGCGCCGATATAGTCATGGTGATCTCCACAGTCCTCCTAATATTCTTTTATACAGGAGTCACATCTTCCCAAGTATTCTTCAAGACACTAAACTTAGTCCGGGAGGTGGATAGTAAAGTTTGACGAGATGTAACCCCACCCTCAGTGATCAGCTAATGGTGATCCTTCAATATGTGCTCAATGCAATTTCTTTCTTTAGTTCTAGATATCACTGTAAGTGACAAACAATAAAGTTGGTTATGTTCAACAAAATACAGCTTTTGCGAAGAAGTCGAGAAATAACCTTGATACCCGCTAGATTGTCTGAGACATGACTTGGAAGGAACAGAGAAATTCGAGGGGTCTAATCGTATCGTGACTTAAGATATAGGTTGTAAGCCGTTATCCACCTCACTAATCGTGGTTGTGGTGTGGAATCTAACAAAGAAGCTAGTAACATGATTCAGAACAAGTTAGTGACTCCATGGGTACTTATCAAGTTGTGGTTTTGAAGATTCCTAGATTTGCCCCAACTTATTTCTATAAAAGCCAGAATTGAAAGGAAAGGGAGATGGTCAACACAGTCCCATAGACTTACCATTTTTTCTCAGTGCCCTACGCCTAGGTTTATCATTGTCGCTCGGTGACTATCGTATCTTAGCATCTTTCGATAATAAAATAGCTGTATCGTGCACTTGTCATCCATCTTTGAAGACCATGTTTCACAGTCACAATGCACTGAGGAGCGGACTGCTACTCAATTGGTCGGTAAGCGGACGGACATCTTGTCCATTCCAAGGTATTTAGGAGACTGCAGTTTATCAACATCCCTACAAAACGGTCGGTCCCAATGGTAAGTATCAGAAAAAAGCAACCTGACAACTAAACATTCACCTTTCCTTAGGTTGGAATTTACTGACTATTCAATGCGATTTAAGGTGTTTCATCAAACACACCAAATAAAGTCCAGTAGCTAAAATATCATATACATATTGAGATGGCAAAAGAGTATCAGTACACACATTATCGCATCCAGTATGTAGTACTATTGAGATCTTGATTACGTTATATCGGATTTTAATGGGCTCTATTTTCATGGCTGTTGAAGATTACGACCACTTGATTAGTTTCTTGTACATAATTCTAATTTGCCGTTTTATTTCAAAAGTCGAGTTCTCTTTATGTAGGTTAACTATTAATCTTTCCATCACTATTTTTCGAAGACGGACACTTATCAAAGTGATTGCCTAACTACATCAGTCTCGACTGGTCAATGTTATTATACAGTTCACTACTAAATCTGACAAGCCGTTGGGTGTCGAACTTCACAGTAATGGATAAGAGTAGTCTGAATAAAAGAAAGTTCGTTTTTGGAGGCACGCAAAATCGAGCGATGGTTTCCTTAACTTATGCTTAAAAAAGCGCCGATGGAATTCTTAAATTGCGAATACCTTTTTCTCTTTATAACTTGTGGTGAACTTAGTAAGCTAAGTAAGCGGTGCTGAGTAATTTTATTGATAGTATTCGTAGACTGAAATGTCTAAGGTAGCTAGTCAACCTGCCAATCCTGTAACAAGTTGTAGTTTCTTTTATTTTTTAAAGATAAATGACATTAGTTTTTAATAATTTATTTATTAATTATAGAAGGGGTTTTGTAGAGATTTAGTATTTATCATAGTTGAAAGCGTGAGTCAATTGAAGCTAGACCACCATGGAAAACCTGGATGGCCGTTTTGTCCTAGTATGGGACTCCTCAGCAGTGCGCATGCACGAACCCGCTCTCGCGAGATTCGAACCCAGGACCTACCAGTCTCGAGCCGACGCCCTTAACCGATAGACCATTGAGCTGGCATCCAACGGTGTTAATTTATAATTTCAACTGATCCACGAATTTAGTTATTTATTTAGTCATTATCAGAAATTGTGGTTCGATCTGGTTAGAACATGTCCCGTAAACCGATTTTCAAAGTGGTTTTATAACATCAGAGAACAGAAATATAATGGTATTACAATGAATTATTTTGTGGACTGGTTTTAATTCTATAACCGATATTGTGAGTCCCAAGGTTTCGGTATATGTTCATTATTCAAAAAATTATATTGTACAGCGATTCGAACTAATTAGTTATACAACCGACTATACTTTTAAATCTTAGTTACTTTGTTTTCATCAAACTTTTTTTCAAGACGATAAACATTAAAATTTGATAAACAAACATAAATAAAATTTGAATTATATTTACAAACTCATAATGCTGTAAAAATATTCTAATTAACTCTATGTACAGTGTATTTTCTGAATATAACAATGACGCAAATGATTTATTCAACTGAAGAAATATTCTGCTTTCATAACTTCCGACAAATCAAATGAACCTAGACAAATTATATAGAGGGAAACATTATATTGCTTAGTGTATAAAAGTAGTGTAAGGTTTATTAAGGTAAATTATTGAATATAAATAGAAAAAATGCATATTCTATGCACACATCATATTCTTAAATGATTCCGACCAATTAAAAATACAAAAAAATGTTGTTAAACGAAGTGATGATTATTAATAAAGCTATCCAAACATTATGATAATAAATTAGTGTATAGAATAATATATGATACACTGGATTCTAATGCTGTTTGATAATGATCAAAGGTAGGATAAAGAATGATCATTCTCACTTTACATGAAGCTTATCCGGGGACCCCGTGGCATCTTCATCTGGTCTTGCAGGCGTTGCTTTTGCACTAAGCGCTAAGGCTGAGGCAGCACTAGTCGATTGGATCCCCATTAACAGTCGGTTATGTGCTGTTGGATTATAAAGTTCCATCAAAGTGAGAAGAGACCGGCGTGAGAAACGGTGTCTTTTCGTCATCTCCGCCTATGCCCCGACAGATTGCAGCCCGGATGCAATCAAGGATGAGTTTTACCACCAGTTAACAGTTCTTCTCCAGAAAGCGCGTTCGACAGATATTGTAGTATTAGCCGGAGACTTGAATGCTCAGGTCGGGCGTCTAGGCACAGAAGAGAGTCGTTTAGGTGGCCAATGGGGACTTGTTGGTCGCAGGTCAGATAACGGGGACCGTTTGCTGCAACTGTGCACAGACCACAACCTGTTTCTGGCTAGCACTAACTTCCGGCACAGTCATCGCCGGTGTGCCACCTGGCGTCCTCCCCCCGCATCTCAAGCCTGGACTCAGATTGATCACATCGCGATCAGCTGCCGCTGACGTGGTTGTGTACAAGACTGCCGCTCCTTTTGGAGTACCTACCTGGAGTCTGATCATGCCCTGGTCTGCGCCAATCTCACCTTACTTTTCAGTGGCCGAAGGATTGACCACCACCAACTGATCGATGTTAGTAAACTGGCTGCAACATCTGTTGCAAGTAAGTATCGAGTAGAGCTAGCCTCTAGGCTAGCTACCATCCCACCGAAAAGTATAGATGAGCATTGGTTGCATCTTCACGACGCCATGAAAATGGCGAGTAAAGCCGCTTGCGGCTTCGCGAAACGTCCCGCTTACAAGCACTGGGTTTCTTCTGGCTCCTTACAACTGATGGAAGCTCGTCGGTCTACTCCGGGTGACTGTGAGTTTGACCACAAACGAAGGCTGTTACGTAATGAAATCGGGCAAAGCATGCGTAAGGACCGAGAAGTCTGGTGGTCGGAGCGTGCTAATAAGATGGAAGCAGCAGCTGCATCTGGTAACTGCCGGAAGCTCTTCCAACTCATCCGAGCCACTGGCAGCAAGAAGTCTGGTGTGAGTGAAACAATCTACGAGGATGACGGGATGCCAATCACTAACATCTCTTGATGTCTTGGACGATGGGCGGAATTTTTCGAAGGGCAGTTCAACTGGCCTGCTGCTCCGGCAACATCAACCAGTTTGTCTTGCCCCCCATGGCCGGTGACGACTGATCCACCAAACGAGGCGGAAGTCCGCAAGGAACTCCAACTCTTGAAGCGCTACAAATCACCTGGCCCAGATGAC